AATAAAATATAATAAAAAACAAAATCTATTGATGTCTGCGACGCGAATGTGTTCTGCAGGGCGGTGGCTGTCGGTCTCGAGGAGAATTTCTTCGTATCACTGGTTATGACTCCTCGCTGTCATCATCATCACCACCATCATCGTCGTCATCGTAGTCATCCTGAGTAGGTACATTAGGTTGATGAGGAGCTGAAGACGATGAAGCACCTCCATAGAATAAGGACCCTGAAGGTGTATGACTGACTATCCCACCGGCCTACGAAAACTGGGAAAACTCATAAAACTCAGACATCGCTGAGTGTGAAAACTGTACAGGAGGTGTTTGTGTTGTGGCCATGGGTGATGAGGCTAAACCCGCCAAATATCCAACATATGAACCCTAAGTCGGATCTACAAACATAGATCCATAATAGCCTCCAGGAGGGGTCATCTGTGACGGTGACGGCAACAGGGTCATAAAAGCATGTGAAGGCAGCGGCGGTGACATCTGGTAATGGAAAGGTGGTGGTGGCATAATTTATGGTTGTGGTATGTAAGTCGCTGGATACGGTGGCTGCTGTGAATGTCCTGCTGGTACAGCTGAGGATGAACCAGATGCACCTGTTCTCCGTCCACGAGTCGGGGGACGATGGTGCTATGTCCGTGAACGTCTCTATCGACGTCGCAGAAAGGTCTGCCCTCGTACATCCTCAGGAAGCAGAAATGGTTTTCCGTTACTGTTGAACCACTCGTAATAACCATCAGCAACCATCAAGAGGTCAAGTAAAATGGGCTCTCTATGGGGAAGGCACCAATGTCGATCCTCCCACAACACGACCCACGCATGATGCCTCACCAGCCAATTTGTATCTGTCTTGCCACGTCTATTTGTGCTATGTAACTCGTCCATATTGTGAGGTGCTTCTGGAATTGGTTGAAAATGACCAAATTGCCGGAACACGCGATCAGTGGAGTGCCACTCGACGGTCGCATAACAGATCAAGGGGATCATCGCCATCCAAACATCTGATGGGCCCCTCAACTCATGTGGGATCACCGCCCTCACATCATCAGTAGAATATGACACCCATTCAAACTAAAACAAATATATATAATTTTATCAAAATATTAATCTAATTATATAACTATAATCTAAAATCGATTTTTAAACATTAAAATTCATACCTGTGTGACAGCCATCTTATCGATTAACACCCTCATTTTTTCTAAATCATCAGGTAGCTCCTGATGATTTTTCCTATCAATAGACCACCTATTCAAGAAAAATAATTTCTTATTCACTGTATAAAATTATTAATATACAAAATCAGTTTTATAATTACCTCAGGAGTAGCAGAAATACGAATGGGTTCTTGACAACGGGACATAAAAAGGACAATCGATACCATGCCCAAGACTGCATCAGTAGGAGACATCCGCTAATAGCATTACGCCTGTAGTCAATGGCTTGACACATCTCCCTGTATAGGTAAGCCAAAACTGTCGAGCCCCAACTGAGTGATCCGACCAGATGAAAGTCGCCAAGATGCTGCAAACACATACAATGAACTTGGTTGCGCGATTTGTCTGGCATCAACAACCCTCCTATCAACTACAGTATGCATGCCCGTGCATACTGTTTAACTTCATCGTCAGACGCGTCCTCACTCAACTCCCAAAAATTGGCATCTAACCAATTTAACGGTATCCGTCCACCATTAAAGTTTTCCGGGACACGTACTAGACTAACCCAACACAAAGTAGTCCAAGAATCGGAAGCTATCCCTGATATCATACCTCCATCCACCGAAAACCCCAGGTGCATAGAAACAACCTCAAGCATGATCGTGAACTCTCCGCATGGAAGATGGAATGTGTGAGTCTCCGGCCTCCACTGATCTACTAAGGCAGAAATAAGGTCTGGTTCTATCTTACAGTGACCCTGATATCTACCTAGGTGACCGAATCCAGCCTCTACTAAATACGATATTACACGAGTAGGTATAACTAACTTAAGGTTCCTAATAAAAGGATCTAATATACGGTCTCTCTCCTAAAATAAATAATTACACAAATTAATTTTTAAACTAATAAACATGCATTAAATAAATTAATTAATTAAATTAAAACGTTAAAATGTTACCGTATCAGCAAAGTGTCGAGATATAAGATTTTCATCCAACCAAAGTAGACCTCCTTCTATTTTATATCTGTAAAAAAAATTAATTAAATAAAATATTAAGCAATTAAAATAATTAAATAAATTACTAAAAAAATACTAAATATAATAAAATATACCTTAATAATATAATATAAGAGTATTTGAGAGAAGTTGAGAGGATTTGGTGTGATAAAAGTGATTGAGAATTGGGGTATTTATAGGGACGGATGGGTGTGAACGGGCGGGGGTAATTTGGTAATTAAGGGTATAGCACGGGGCAGGGCCTACGCCTTTCTGACGCGTGTCAGAATCACAGGTAAGGTGCGGCCCCTGCGCCGCGTCATACCCTTAATTACCAACCTACCCTCGCCCGTTCACACGTGTATCCATGTCAGCATAAGGCACGTCGTAGGGGGCGCTCCTTACTGCAAAGGGTGTTAGATCGGGAAATATAGTCTAACTGGTGCCTAATTGGGAATATCAAATTAAAAAGATTATTTTTTGGGAAAAATGCCGTGAAACTGTTTCCTGCCAAGTGTTTTAAATTTTTAATAAAATATACTAAGGCCCCGTTTGGTTTACGTCATCTTTCATTCCTGGGAGGAATGTTTTTTTCCGGGTAACAATACCCATGTTTGGATGGGGTTACATTCCCAAGTGCAGGTAATGAATGAATACCAACAGTGGTATTTTTTTCCTATTTTCCCGAGAATATCAGTCCCCCTTCTCTCTTAGGTATTTGTTTATTCCCGGTCCCCTTGTCTAAAATACCTTCTCCCCGCTTGGTTCTGGCTGAAAGAAAATCTGTTTCTTCTTCGATTTGGCGTTCAGATTTGCTTCTGGTAAATTAGTCTCCCATCTCCCTTTTAGGTATTTGTTTCTGGCATCAATATTTTCAATATTTTTATTTGATCCTTGGCGTTGATATTTCAATTTGTTTCATTGTTCAATTTTTATGGGTTTATGTTTTCACTCTTGTTTCTGTATTTTTCTCTACTACTACACTGATTTGCCCATTATTGCTCGTTTTCTTGATGACTGTAGTGTTTAGCGTTTCATTGTTCTTTTCCTTTCTTATTCCATCAGTGACCCGACTGTAATGGAATCAGCTTTGAATAGAGATTTGAAACCCAGCTTCGAAATTAAACTCGAGCGTTGAAACTTTTTCAAGCTGTTCTAATTGGAACCCAAAAACTATAATTTGCACCTCAATTTCATCTTTTACGATTTTTGTCTTTGTCAAAAACTGTAAATTGCATTTTTAACTTTGTTAGTTTTAGTTTAGTTATATCCTCTTGATTTACGAGTACCTATAAAGAATATTTTATGACTCCAGTCTGACCTAAAAATTTAAAAAAATTAGCGAGTCAATTATTCGATCTAAAAATTCAAATATTTTCTATATAAACACTCAATAATTTTCAATCGGGTCGGCGGCTCGATGGGTTGGACATTTTTAAACACCCTTAGTTGAGATGGATGATTATAATTGATGGAGATCATAAATGTTGTGGTAGGAAAACATCATGCAACAATTTTCTCAAGTAAGACATCTTTTAAGTACTTTATTGATAGATTTTTATATTACAAGTTATAATTTTTTGGATAAATAGTATATGTTATGACTAATATCACTTAATAAAATCAAAAACACTTTGAATTAAATTTTTGTATAAAACTTTGGATGATATTTTAAAACAAAAAATAAAAAAAATACTGAGTAATTTTAATGGTTATAGAGAATGTTGTTCTTCCTAGAAGTCAATAATTCAAATATTTGTGTCTGCGGATATATGTTTGTTGTCAATAACTGCGAAAGATTATGAACAAATACTTATTTTAATAACACTAAACTTTAAAAAAATTGAATAATTGCAAAATCAACGACATGAATACATTTTCCTCAAAGAAAAAAAATATAATTAGTCTGTGTTTGAAGTTTGTCCGGAAACGGTAGGGGTGTAAACGAGCCGAGTAGAGCTCGGGTATTGCGGAGCTCGACTCGACTCGAAAACTCACAAACTTAAAATTTTCAAGCTCGACTTGAACTCGAAATTTTGAACTAAAGCTCATGAGCATCTAAAAAAAGTTCGAAATGAAAAATATATATTCTTAAACTGAACTCGATTGAAGACTCAAACTTGAACTTAAACCCTAAATACATGAAAATCTTACTATATTTTTAAAAAAAATCAATACAAAAAAGTTAATATTATTAATAATTTATTTTTTAAAATAAAATCTTAATATATTATATTTTCGAGCTGCTCGCGAGCTTTTCAAGTCAAGTATCAAGTAGCTCGTTTCGTCTCGTTAAAAACTCGAGTCGAGCTCGAGCTCGAGTTGTTCATTCGATCCGAGTATTTATCAAGCCTTGATCGAGTCGATCTCGAGTAGTTCGTGATTTGTCTCGTCTCATTTACAACCCTATGAAAAGTTGTGGTGAATCTAAAGGTGAAGAAGCATACGTAATTCTTAAATGTTTTTGGTCTAATATAAATTTATATTTTATAAGTTTAAATATTACATAATTAGGTCTTACTCCTAAATTTTGAAAGTAAATATTCTTGTATTTTCGAAGTTTAATAATTTAATCCATTTTAATATTCGATCCTGACTTCGATCTAAGAGAAGTGACTGTTGGCAGGTTTATATCAATTTCAAAGGTTACTAATGACCGGTAAGCGTCGTGGGGCAAGTTTTGTTAGATTACTTCAATATAACCCCATATATTAACTAAACTTTGTCAGTAAGCTATCAAAGAATCAACAACGGCAACGATTGTAGGAATTAATGAGCCATTCTCTTTCTTAAACAAATGATAACTAACGAACACCAATACTCATCCAGTATAAATTGTCGCCCTTTGTCACATTCCAAGACAAAAAATCAAAACAAAAATATGGCAAGAATTAAGATGTTCTTTCCACTGAAAGCTTTCTCCTTACTGTTTGAAAACCTGATTAACACATCAGGGAAATTGCCTTATCTAAGGTTCAAGGCGAGCAATGACACCCCTGCAAAGCAATTCAAGTTTGTCAATAACTCTTCGTTTACAGTTGAGGTTTCAGATCATACATTGGTTTTTCATTTGGAGGGTGCAGTTTTGAAGTCATATTCACAGTTCCCTTACTTCATGCTGGTGGCTTTTGAAGCTGGTGGGCCCATTAGAGCTCTCATCTTGCTTCTCCTGTACCCTCTGGCTTGCTTACTCGGCCATGAGCTTGGACTCAGACTTCTGGTTTTTGTCAGTTTTGTTGGCATTAAAAAGGATAAGTTTAGAGTTGGGAGTGCAATTTTGCCCAAGTTCTTCCTGGACGATGTTGGTGCTGTAGGGTTTGATATAGTGATGAAGTATGGAAGAAAGGTGGCAGTCACCGGAATGCCTAGAATCATGGTCGAATGTTTCTTAAGAGAATATTTGGGAACCGATGCTATCATTGCAAGAAACTTGAAGGAATTCCATGGCTACTTCTTGGGTTTAATGGAGGAAAATATTGATGCTGCTCAAGCTATAAACCAGAAAATTAGTACTCATAATATTGGCTTAGGCTGCTTCAGAAAATTCCATAACCAGAATTTTTTCTTACATTGCAAGGTAATGCTATCGCTTGTTCTTTTATTTGTTTGTGTCTCTCATTGACTGATCCTTTTATTAGTATATTTATTTATTGAAAGATTCTGAACAGGAAATTTACTTGGTGACTGAGGCAGAAAAGTACAATTGGCAAGTTCTTCCAAGGGAGAAATATATAAAGCCTTTGATCTTTCATGACGGAAGGTTGGCATTTAGGCCAACCCCATTGAAGGCCTTAGCTATGTTCCTTTGGCTTCCATTTGGTTTCCTCCTACACATCATCAGAATTATGGTTTTCACTTCATTACCTTTCAAGTTCTCTATACCTCTGTTGGCCTTCTCCGGCATGATAAATACGAAATTCGAATCTCGAGTCGGTCTGCTCAAAACCGAGGGAAAACCGAGAGGGGTGCTCTATGTGTGCAACCATAGAACATTGCTAGACCCAGTTTATATAACCATTGCTCTGATGAAGTCTGTCTCTGCTGTCACCTACAGCCTTAGTTGGTTCAGTGAGGTAATTTCCCCTATCAAGACCGTTCGGTTAACACGAAACCGAGAGAAAGATAGAGAAGTGATGAAGAAGATGTTGAGCAAAGGGGACCTAGTGGTTTGCCCTGAAGGAACCACTTGCAGGGAGCCCTATCTGCTGAGATTTAGTCCATTGTTCACAGAGCTGACCGATGAAATCGTTCCCGTAGCTATAAAATTGCAGGTCAGCATGTTCTACGGATCAACGGCGAGCGGATTCAAATGTTTAGATTCAACATTTCACCTAATGAATCCAAATCCTTCATGCATGATCATGTTTCTAAACAAGTTACCATGTTGGGAAACACATAATGCTGGAGGGAAATCAAGATTTGAAGTTGCCAATCATGTGCAGGGTCAAATTGCAACAGCTTTAGGATTCGACCGTACGGATCTTACAAGGAAAGACAAGTACATGATATTGGCAGGCAACAAAGGAATCATATAGGAGATATATCAAATATCAAAACGCATAAGCTTGTTCGTGATGATTGTTCGTTTGTAATCACCCCGTTTTCATTTAGGTTTGTTTTACGTTTAATGAAAATAATATCAGTGTATAGCAATAATAAGTTTTTGAAAGTAATTACGCATTGGACAAAAATATTATAAATCTTATGTTCTTTTTTTTATAATTTTAAAAATAATTAATCAGTGATCAATACTGCATTGATGCATAATAAAATGGTAATTTTCATCCACTTAGCACCCTTTTATCAAGATCGGGAAAATCATACAATTTGAGAATCTTTAGTTATTGGACGAGAAAATGAAAATTAGTAAAATGTGGACTTAAATTAGATATTGATTTAAAATTTGAATAATAATTAAAGTTGAATTCAAAATTTAGGATAAGTAAATTATAAATTAAATTTATTTTTAAAAATTAAATATTTATTAAATAGGAAGTATCATAAAATAAAGTTTATTGATGATAAGTATTTACTTTATTAATCTCCAAATTATGAAAGAGATGATTATTGGGAGAAGTAATCCTTTTGTCATTTGATGATGATTTTGTAAGGATATTAAAAGAATGTTGATAATATAATGGGTGAATCACTTTAAATCTCGTCTCTTAATTTTTAATAAGTAACATTGTCAATCGAGATTAGAGACACATGATAATGTTATCACGAAAAATTCAGTTTCAAGAAAATTTGTTGTTATGGGTTGTCTTAATAAGATTGGAGATATGCAAGGGTTTTGTTATAATTAATTTTCAGATGTGCCAAGATAATTATCAACTGATCCAATGATGCTTTCATACATATTTGAGGTTAATTATTTAAAAATATTTATGTCAAGAAAAAGATTATTATGTATTAACTTAAATTTTAACTAATAATTAAAATTTAATTTTATTAATAATTTTAGTGGTTTGATATATTTGATGATTAAGTATATTTAGTAAATAAATATTTTTATTAGATAATAAATTTTGTGGAATGATTTTTTTTTGGACAAATTTGTTGGTGTAAAGCAGTTGAAAAATAAATTTGTTTATATGGGGTAGTGTAGATTTTTTTTAAAATAGGATGAATGTTATATTACTAATAAGAAGTCGTGTGAATCATTTGACATCTTTAGGAAGACACACGAAAGATATGACATCTTCAAAGAAAGACGCACATAAGACATGACATCTTCTTACATTAGCTTCGGTGCTTGTCTTCTTCCAATTCCAGTCTCCATTAATGGTGCCCACTAGCTCCCACGCCATCTGCTCCAACAACAATCCAAGTAAGTTCACCCTAAGTAGGGATGGAGTTAGAATTAAATATTGACAGTGCCAAAATATTGAAGTTTTTAAGAAAAATGCAATAATTTATTAGATATTTAAACTTGAATTCAGAAGACAATGCCTAATTTATTCAATCTTTAATCTTACAATGATCTGAATTGTTATTAAACTAAAACATTTGATAACATGGGATTATCCTTCTTTAGTTTGACCCCTACTTGATTAAATATTTAATAAATTATCATATTTTTTAAATTTAAATTCTTACTTTTACATAAACCAAAATACTATTAGATGAAATATTTTTTAATATTTAAATTCTTTTTACATGACTCAAGTAAAGATTCCAAATATTTCATGCATCTTCATGAAGACATCAAGTCTGTGTCTTCCTCTATCCATTTTGAAGATCACCCTACTTAAGAAAATAAAATCTAATAGTTCTTATTTAAGGAACTTTTTTCCATTTCATTATTTGAGTGATTCTGCCATTATTTTATAATTAAGTATGTGGGACATCAATAACATCCATGGAGCATGGTTGGGAAGACGATATTTATTAAGAAAACCACCCCATAAAAAGCTTTGATTAGGAAGACACATTCATTGGAACGTGATAAAGAATAAAAACAAGGACGGACATAAAATTTTATTTTATAAACGAATTAAAATTTTGAAAAGGAAGAAAATATATTTTTAATAAAAATAAAAAATATATGATAATTTTAAATTTTTTAGTATTGATTCGAACAATATTTTTGTGTTGCGTGGACATTTTGAGGAGAAAATAATTCATTATTTGTCCTTGTCGGGAAGAGTCATCTTTATTTTGACCTTTTTTTTAATTCAATAAAACAAGCGGACGTGAAACATCTCAAGTGGTTCTGTCGTACCATATGGTTGGGAATTAGCTCTTTGGTGGTAATTATCAGAGCTTTTAAAGATGGACACCAACTGGTCCTTCCAAATTAAGCTCATCACTGATGAGTGCACCTATATCATTATTTGGAAGTTACAGGAAATTTTGGCAAAATTTATTAGATATAAAATTTTTCGTTAAGGTTTCATTTTAGAAAGAAAAAAAAAAGGAATAATCATAGGGTTGAGACACTTGGCTTAGATGCCCAAAATGGTGGTGGTTCGATTTATACTACTACTTATCATTATTATGGTGATTGATTCATAAGAGTCTTAAGGGAGAGTTATAATGTGTACAATATTTTGTTGAAGGAGAATCGTAATATATCAAAATTGTGATATTAAAATCTGATCCATTGAATTAATTGATTTTTACTTTCTCCATTAATTCTTTAATTTTTTTAACAAATTAAATGGCTTCTGATATCAAAATTATTCAATTAATTTGATTAAAATATGATTTTTAAAATAATATAAGATATTAAAAGTATTCAATTAATTTGATTTAAATCTAATTTTAAAATAATATTTGATTTTCTTTGGAAGCATTGAACGATGTACGGTTTATTTAATTCAATATAGCTTGGACACTCTTTTCCCCTCGTAAGACCAACATTTTAGTGTTGGGTAAGAGGAGTTTTTAATGAGGTCCTTTTTTTCAAAAAATATATTTTATATAAAAATGTGACATATATTTTTGAATATTTAAAATTAAAGGGATATTATATATGATTTCCTTTAATTCTAATATTAATATGGCATATCTTGTCATTCACGAATATATTCTATTAAATAGAGTATTAATCGATTACTTTCAAATTTATTCGGATACTCATTAATGACCTTACTTTTCAGAATATAGTTTTTTAATTCTTCTCCTATGAGAAATTCTACAAATAATGTGTAGACTTACTAGGTTAAACACAACTCAAAAACTCTTTTATTCTTCTCTAGTTTTCGGTGATAGCATCATGTAAGATACAATTTGTGATATTTGCATATATGCTAGTGTACTCTAATCAGCTCGTTGTTGTATCCTAAGAGTCAGACGACTAGAGATCTCAAGCACCAATGAGAGGCAAAAAAAATATGTCTGTTGAACTTATATTTTGATATAACAAATATTTGTAAAATTGATTTTGGACTTAGTCAAATTTTTCAAAAATAATTTAAAGTCCAAAATAACTTGAAAAATATGTGTTCTTAATTGCTTTATATATATGAAATATTTTTGAGTTAATTAAAATATGATTAAAGTATTTAAAATGTGTTTAAAGCTTTTTAATTATGAAAAACACTATTCAGACACTATTTGACATTGTTCATGACATTGTTCATACACGGGTATTGTTCATAGGTTGAAAACTTTGTAAGAGTTTTGAAACTTTCATTAAGAGTTTTGAAAATTTACAGAAGTTTCGAAACTTTGCACCTATAAATTGTCTTAACGAACCGATTTTCTTTAACGATCATATTTTTAAGTAAGAGTTTCGAAACTTTGCACCCAGAAACTGTTTTAACGGCCCAATTTTCTTCAACGGTCATATTTTTAAGTAAGAGTTTCAAAACTTTCATCAAAGTTTCGAAACTGCATGTGCAGTTGCCTTTATTACATGTTTTTAAGCTTCCCAACGGCTATAACTCATCCCCAACGGTCATAAACGACTAGCAACTCATTCCACACAATAAAAACACTCCATGGACACTTGAAGAAGGTTACTACATCTATCCAATCTTTGAGATCAAGAGAAAAGAGTTTTCATTCCTATTCCTTCATTTTCTCTTGAACATAAGTGTATAGAGCTTAATTGAATATCTTTTGTTGTTATTCTTGTGAGCTTAAATCTTTGTAAACACCTACCTTGTGAGGTTTCTTGTTTACATATCTTATCTTATGTAAAAGGGGGTGATTATAGTTTAGCCGTGAAAAACTAGAGAATTGTAGAGGTTACTCTTAAGCCTAGAAAAAGAAATAACAAATTAGTGAATTTGTTGAAATCCTTAGTGTAGAGCAAAGACAGTGGATGTAGACTTTGGTTGAGAAAGTTGAACCACTATAAATCTTGCATCTAATTCTTATCTTTTATTGCTTCCACACCAAAGATTCTTAAAGGTCAATTCACCCCCTCTTGGCGGTTTTCGGTTGATCGTATGAGCCAACACTATCTTAAGGAAACTATGTAGACACATGCCTCAACTAGTATCTAAATCGTTATTATGTCAACGTTCGGATTTTTTATTCTAAACTATATTCTTTATTTATTAATAAAAATCTATTTTTCTTTTTTGTCTTGGATTGTTGTAACAATATTAAGACATAATCTATCTTTTACCTTTCTAAAATCATTAGAGACGATTCAAAAATCTTAAGAAAATTATGAAAAGCAAATTAATTCATTTTCAAGATTCATCCTGCCATTTTAGCAGGTTTGCTTAAAGTGAATAAATCTATTTTAACAGAAATTTTTGTTGAAGTAACATTCGTTACAGCTTTTGTTGATTTTGTTCGATAACAAAATCGTAAATAAACAAGAATTAATTTTATGTTTCTTTGAATTATTAATAATTACTATTTCTTTTATATAATAATAGAGACAACATACTCTACCAGGTTACCTAGCGTGGATACCAAAATAAACCATTAGTGGAAGCTAATCATAGCGAGAGGCTAACGTAATTTTGTGGGCAAAATTTTAACACATGGCAACAAAAGATACGGTTATATCTAACCATAGTGAACTATGTTGTGTTCTTGAAGGACGATCCTTTTTGTTTTTAAAGAGGGAGAAGGAGAATAGGAG